ACATCTATCCTTCTTGATTACCTGCACGTTACCAACAGAGGATAACATTTAAACAGAAGGGGTGAGATATCAAACCATATAATTGAGTGTATGACAAATAATTTATTAGATCAGATTATATAAAATCACCACTTCACAACTTTCAACCAACATCAATCATCACAAGTCAACAACACATCATATTAAATATGAAACACGGAATGTGACTTGTTACAATGCACATGCATGTGGTACCAATGAAGCAAAACTCCTAACTTAGAAATCTGTCAATTAATAGAGGCATCAACAAGGCATAAGCCTTCAACTTAATTTGCCAATCCAGGCCAACTTACCGAGCATCAGCTCCAACTTGATATGCTATGTATGCGACCCAATATGAATGTCAGGATAGCAACAACAAAATTCAATAGCAACGCAACAACAAACCAACATTGACCATAGCCTACAACTTAATATTTTGCCCATAAATAGAGACAATAACATCACCTTCTAATTCACATTTTTCGACGAAGAACACAATACAACGAGTCAACCAAAATTTACTACAAATAAGTTGCGTAATTATTTGGACTATTACGACTATTTTCAGTTAATTAATTATTGGCTAAAAGTTCTATTATTTCTAGTTACAAAACTTCTACAATATTATTATACTAATAATTCTAAATTATTACTAATTATTATTACTATTATCAATATTATTATAATCATTATTATACTAATTAGATATTATATATATTAGAAAACTTAGAAACATGATTATTCATGGTTATATATTGATAATGAATAATCTATATATCTCGTGCTATAATATATGCATTACTAGAGGGTCGCTACAGTGTAATTAATGAAACAATGCATTATATTAAACACACTACAGTGTAACATATATATTAATTCGAAACTCCAACTTGTTATATGCCATCGTTATACACGACTACAATATATGCTAATTGGTCCTAATTGGTCCAATTCAATCAATTTATTACAGTATATGCTAAATTATTATTATTATTTGGAAATTTTAATTTACCCTACTGACAACTCTAAACATGTCAGAATTACACAAACAAATAAAGTTATGACTCTTAATAACTCAAAACAACTCTGACAACTTTATTGACAACTCCAACAACTCTATTGACAACTCTATCGGCAACTCTAACAACTCTATTGACAACTCTATTGAAACATTACACTACATGCCAATTATTGATATAACATTTCTATATACCAGTAAATTGCCGCTACAGTACCTGCAATTTGTTATTCTCAGTTCATCGCGCTACAGTGTATTTTGAACATAAGCCTTGTTACTAATATCACTTAAAAGTAATGATATAGTATATATAAATATTAAATTGAGTTCTCATTCGTCTATCAATTTCAAACACAAATAAAAACAATTTTATAACTCAATTTCACATACCATTCATCATATACCCTATTATAGAGTCAAAACCCCACTCTTATTTTAGATTGAAGGTTGCTCTAACTCTCTGATTGCACCTAATTTTGCCTCCTCTTTGCACTTCTATGTATCTCTTCAAAACCCTTATTCCTCTTTCTCTCTACTGATACTTCTATTCTTCTTCTTATTTCTAAAATAACTAATATAATAATATTATCATTCTATTATTCTTATTTTGTCTTATTGAACTTAAATTTCCATGTCTTCCTTTCTACTACTTCTAACATTAAAATAGACCCACATAAATAATAATAGTATTATTCAATAATAATCCTATAACTTAATTAACTAATTAATTCAACTAAAAACGACACAACTTAAATTAATATTTCACAACTTCGAAAATTTAATCGGAAAAATATTTAAAAATATTTAATTAAATAATTAATTAAATATTGAGCGTTACAATTTCTACCAAGACAATTGGGACTTAATAGACAATGAGGCAAGTAAAGCTACCACCTCTTTCTTAAACACGGGCACCTATTGGAAGAGATCAACACTACCATATTGACTCTTATACCCAAGACAAAATGTCCAAAAAATGTTAGTGACTATAGGCCTATAGCTTGTTGCAATGTGATATATAAAATTGCAACCAAAATGATATGCAATATACTAGGTTAAATCCTGCCAAACATAGTCTCCCAAAACCAATAAGGGTTTGTCAAGGGGAGATATATAGCCCGTAATATAATGAATTTCCAAGACTTGGTAAAACATAATGGGAGGAAGAGAAAAAAAGCTAATTGTATGATTAAATTGGATTTCTGGAAGGCTTATGACACAATTGAGTGGGGCTTCATTGGCGAGATGCTTGAGGGTCTTAATTTCCCTAGAAGATTTAATGAGGTCATCGTGAATTATGTCAGGACCCCTAAATTCTCCCTCGTGATTAATGGCACAATGCATGAGTTTTTTAGTTCCAGGAGAGGATTAAGGCAAGGAGACCCCATGTCTCCCTTACTGTATGTGCTTAGAATGGAATACCTCTATAGGATCATGAAGGAAATTGGTAATATAAATAGGTTCAAATTTCATGAGAGATGTGAAGGCATCGAGCTTTACCACTTTAGTTTTGTTGATGATGTGTTCTTGTTCTGCAATTGAGATTTTGTCTCTATCTACACCATGAACCAGAAACTGGAGCTCTTCTCTAACACATCAGGATTGCATCCAAACAATGAGAAATCAAAGGTCTATTACAGGGGTATGCAGGACACAGAGATTCAAAGAGTAACTGTTGTTACATGCTTTAAGATGAGCAAGCTAACTTTTAATTACTTAGGTATGCCTATAAATTCTAAACAAATTAATGCTATTGACTTCCATATGCTTGTTGAGAGAATGACAGCAAGAATAAGGACCTGGAGTTCCAGATCTCTATCTTTTGCAAGGAGATCCTTATTAGTCAACATTGTCCTGTTAACAATACACTCATATTAGTGCCAAATTAGCATCATATATATGGGTGTTATCAAAGAGATTAATGCAATTTGCAGGGCATACCTCTGGACCAGGCATCACTCTGATCACATGTCAGGTAACATAGCTTGGGAACAACTCTATATGCTAAAAAGTAAAGGGGGACTGGGTTATAAAGATAGTGTCCTATGGAACTTAGCTTCCGTAGGGAAGCATGTTGGGTCAGTAGCCACTCATAAAGAAAACTTGTGAGTCAAATGGATCCATCAAGTGTACTTAAAGGACAAGAATTTGTGGGATTATAAAGTACCACAACAAGGAAGCTGGTATTGGAAGAAGATAGTGGAGGCCGGGGAGAAAATAAAAAATCATATAATCTTCCAAGAATTCACTGAGTCTGAATATAGTATAAAAAAGATGACAATCCTTTTTGTTGGTGATTTGGAGAATAAATACTGGGCAAAATCAATCTGGACAAGCACAAATGTTCCCAAGCATAGCTTCATAGCTTGGTTAGCAATACAAGAGAGATTAAAGACAAGAGATAGACTCAAGAAGGTGGGCATAATTGAGGTGAATACTTGCCTACTATGTGAGAGCCATGAGGAAACTCATAACCATATTTTTTTCAACTGTACTTACAATAACGGGTGCTGGAGAATCATCAAGAATTGGCTCAAATGGAACATGCAATCCAACAATCTGCAGGAGGCTATAAGGTGGATAGGCAGGAATAAAGTCAACAAGCTAAGAAAGAATGTGTATTCCACAACTTGTATAACAACAGTCTACCACATTTGGAGGAATAGGAATGATGTCCTATGAAATTGTAAAGTGGAAACAATAGATGTTTGCGTAAAAAGAATAAAAGATGATGTAAATAACATATTTTATCAATTAGAGGCCAAGATAAGCCCAAATGATAAAATCGGGTATAACACACTTTAAATTTTGTTTTATTTATAGGTTTTGACCTGATGAGGTCCATGTACATACGTTGTTTGGTTAATAATATCTTGTTGATTTATAAAAAAAACAAGGGTATAAGTTGTATATTTTTAAAAAAAATTATTGACGACACTCTCATGACATATACTTGGTTATTGGTGGGTCGGTGTGAAAGTTTTGCATGAAATATATTATTTATAATAGTGTTGGTATGTTCGTAATAATATCTCTTTTCTGTTACGTCAACCAAAGTGAAAGAGGTTGAGTTTTGGCTTGGAGCTAGCTTCTTTATGGATTCTCTTTGAACTTTTTCTCCTTTTTTGGTTGACTTAAGAATTCTATCACATGTTTGAATCAATAACAAATCAAGAGTTATGCCTTGTTCCTCTAGTGCTTAGTGGTCTTTGGCGTTGTGTGTGAGCTTGGTTTGCCATTGGTGGGTCTAATGTCTAAGCTCTAGCCTCATTTCTATTGAGACATGCTTTGTTGTAGGCGTTCACACGTTCTCCTTAGTTCCTCTTCAATTTTTCTTTTTTTTTTCTTGTTCTTTGGTGGTACTATTGTTTGTATTTAATTTGTGTTGGCACTTATTTGTTAATATTATTTTACCATTAAATTTTTTTTAATGACATGAATTTTTATATTTAAAAATGAATAAGTAAGATGTGACAAGTTCGAACATATATTCTGCAATACAATTGAATATTTCTTTAGCTATCAAATGAGATGGTTCATCGAAACAATTTTTTTTATAATTTCAAGATTACTATTTTTTCTGATTATTTAAAAAATATATATTTTAATGATATTTAAAACTAAAATGAAATATAGAAATAGAGCTAGAGGGTTTGTAATCATTAATTGATGAATTGAAAAATCATTAAATAGTCATATAAAAATATTAATTACTATAGATATTAAAAATATTTTTTTAAACGTTGCATAATTAACTAAATAACTACTTACCCAAATAAAATAATTAATTAAGGAAAATATCATATGGAATTTATTATTAAAGAAAAGTATAACTGGTTTTCCATTTTTAACATATATGGATAAGAATTAAATGATTCTAACGTTGGAAACATAACTGGTATCTATAAATACCTTCATGTTGTTGATACTATATTGCAAGATATCAAAAGGTATTAATAAAATGGAGAAGTTAATGAGGATGAAATTAGTCACAATTTTTCTGGTTTTATTTGGCAGAGTATCAAATATTGCAATTGCGCAAACTACCAATCCAGCATATCCTGCAGTGTTTGCTTTTGGCGACTCAATATTTGATACAGGAAATAATAACAACCTTGCAACTCTATCTAAATGCAATAATCCTCCCTACGGAAGGGATTTCTATGGCGGACGACCTACCGGAAGATTCGGTAACGGCAGAGTTCTATCAGATTTGATAAGTAAGTTAATAATTTTATCAGTTTTTTCGAAAAATAATTTTTTATACAAATCAAACATCTCTAATGACTGTGTATTGTATAGCGGCGTCTTTGGGAGTGAAAGATACCTTACCAGCATTCCTAAACTCGGCTTTATCCGATAAAGATCTTCCTACTGGTGTATGTTTTGCATCAGGAGGTTCAGGGTTTGATGATTTGACTGCAAACTCGCAGGTATACATATTTTTTATGATTTAGGGTTTAGTATTTAGAGTTTATAGTAACAAATATTTTGTGCATTACAGGGAGGAGTTTTGACAATGGGCGCTCAACTGAATTTTTTCCAACAATACATAGCAAAGTTGAAAGCATCGGTTGGACCAGAAAAAGCTTCAGACATCATATCCAAAGCCTTGTTTATAATATCAGCAGGAAACAATGACGTTGCATTCGCTTATTCTTTCACTATTCGAAGAACTATGCTTTTTAATGTATATGCTAGTACTTTAGTTACAGCAGGCCAAAATTTCCTCAAGGTTTGTCATTCAGTTTTGAGATGATTTAACTAGTTTCTTGAGATTGTTACAATATCAAACTGATACGTTATTGATGCGAATTTACGACAGAGTTTATATCAACTGGGAGCACGACATGTGTGGGTTATGAGTACAATACCATTGGGATGCTTACCTGCAGCTAGAACTCAAGTGGGAGGACCATTAAGGTTATGTGTAGATTACGAGAATGGATTAGCACAAATGTACAATGGCATGTTATCAGCCGGAGTTTCGAGTCTTAAAGCCTCTCTTCCCGATTACGATCTTAAGTTCGTCGATGTTTATACTCCTATGCTTAATATCATACACAATCCTTCCGCATCAGGTTCATTTTTTTTCGTTATTTACTCATACATATATCAAGATAATTATTTATATATTTTTTTGTGTAAATTAATCTTTTGATATTAATTTTTAGGGTTTCAAAATGTGTTGAATGGTTGTTGTGGAACTGGAACATTTGAAATGGGAGCTCAATGCAACATGTTAACGTTCCAATGTCCAAGTACTGCAGCTTATTTTTTCTGGGATGTTGCTCATCCTACAGAAAGAGCTTATCAACTCACTGTTGCTCAAATACTACAAGCTCAAAACTATGATCTTACTAGTTACCATATTTCAAAAGCTCTTCATCCTTTGAATGTATCAAGTCTTAGTTTTAATAATTAATAGTTTCTCTTTTTTTTGGTAAGTTAAATAATTTTTCTTTTGGACCATATGTTTTTTCCAAGGAAATGTAATGAAATGTGCAATGTATTTGTATACTACATGTGTCTCATTTTCTTTTTTCCCCCTATTTTTATAAAATTTAAAAATAAAAGTGTAATGAGTGGCACTATTTACTAAAATGTTTGTGGGTCGGTTTGGATCTATTTTAGGACAAAAATTCATCTATCCAAATATAAATTTATTTGTGGTTCAATTCAATTTTAAATGATATATTAAAAAATTCAATCTCATCCGATCTAATTTTATATTGTTTAATTTAAATTGAATTTTAAATATCCAAATTATATATTATATTTTTATTGATATTATAAAACTATTTATAATAAAAATAAATAGATTATATTAAATTAATAAATATTATTAAAAAATTATTATCATATAATAATAAATTCATATAAGATATCATATTAATAAAAAATAAATAAATATAAAAATATATGTATACGATTTAGTTTGGGTCAATTTTGAAAAATTTCGATTCAAATCGGTCGATTTTCACAAAATAACATTTAAATGTATTCAATAAATTTTAGTTTTTTGCAGTTTTCGATTTTCTAAATTAATTTTTGATTTTTGATTTTGATTGATTTGAATTTGAATATCTCTACTATTCACATTTCAAATCTATTTAGTAAAAATGAATTAAACTCGATATAAAAATTTAACATATTATTAGAGCCTACTAATTCATACCCAAGTATTATTATAATTCATGCACCAAATCAATAGTATAAGGTGGTCCATGCATTTGGTGGCCTAAGACAAATTTAGATTTGAGACATTTTTATTAAGTAATTAAATATTAAATTAATAAATAAATTATTTATTTTCATAATAATAAAATTAAACAAATTAAAAACTAAGGATAAAACTTGACCCAAAAAATAATGATAAAAAATTTATTTAGATTAATTTATTATGTTAATTTAAATATTAAATAAATTAAATTAAATATAATAATATGCTAATAAAATTTAAAAATTACATTTAATTAATTGTTTTAAAGTTATATTTAGTCAAAAAAATATTTTTTACACCCAAAGTACATGTTTGGTACTTCAATTGGGTTGATTTATACTGCAATTGATTTACATTTTCAATTATTTAAGTGGTGGAGATGAAATTGTTTTGATTGTTTACTGCTATTAGATTATTTTGCAGTGTTATGATTTTTATTTTGTTGTTTGTGTTATTTCTTTGTTGAATTGTTGTTTTATTGTGTTATAATCTAAAATTGATATGTATATAATATAAAGTTTTCAAGTAATCTAACATTGATATTTAACAACGAAGTAATTATTTAATTAGAATTGGTTCTAACATTGGCACAATGCGATCGAGTGTGACCGATAAGACGCCACAATCCGCATTTTTTATGCCATTATCTTTGGTGTCCATTTTGGTTATAATGTGTATGCTTTTTGGGCGACTTATCTTATTCATATGCATTTTGGATTATAGAAAATTTGATCCCCTTCATAAACAAACCAATATTCCTTGTTTGATAGCCCTAAAAAGTTTTTGCTGTAGACTCCAAATAAGTTTACGACCTTGTAAATGTTGGAAAAATGAACAATAGTGTTTTGGCTCACACTGGAACATGTTACATTAACATCTGAGCAACATGCATTCTTAAGTTCTTTAGAAAAAGTTATAGAAAAATATTAATGTTACCATCTTGTTCTACTGCCATAAATAGAATCCTATTATACTTACCATATAACCAGTGTCTGGACTGGTCCAATGACTAGACATGGTCCAATCCACTTATACATCCAAAACGGCCCAGTTAGTTTAGACAGATAAGGGAAAATTTTCTCTTCTGCCCCTCCGCAGGGGACGCGTAGTCGATTGCCCCTGAGAGCCAACGAGACCACCACTGCCCTAAAACAACGGCGCCTTTTCCCGCGTCAACGACTAGTTTCACTGTGCCTGACACGTAAGGAGGAACCATCAGGGAACGACCATAACGAGCATGCTCACAACTACACCCCTGCTCGAAGTAACGACTAGTTCCGAGCAGATCTGCCCTTCATAACAGCTAGTTACTAGTAGTTACCTATTTTTGGGGACCTGATTTCCAGGCCCAAAAATAGGAACCAATGGCCAAGTGTTAGGGGGTATTATATAAACCCTCACACTTATTAGGGTCAGGTATTCAATATTCACTTTAAAACCCTGAACTCTCTCTTGTATCTCTTTTCACTCTTACTTACTTGAGCATCGGAATGCCTTGCAAGTACACCCTCTCCTCCTTGATTCCAACCCTGTAGACGTCATCTATCGGCCCATTACAGGTACTGATCACCGGTAAGATCAGTGATGCCGTCTATGGGAAATTGTTGTCCCCATCTTTCTTTTCTCGGAAACTAAAGATCAAAACGACATTTCAAGTTTCAAATCATGGCCGATCAAGATGACAACTATCTCGCTAGAAGAATCGTCTTGTCCCTTGTCCGCGACACTGATAACAACAGAGATATGCCATCCCCTGAAGATACTCCCCTATAAAGGGACGACTGCACTGCATCTCCTTCATCGGTTGAGATAGAGGACGACGAAATTCATTTCTTGGAAAATCAGAAGTCCAAGAAAGTCCCAGAAGAACAACCAGCAGTCCTCCAACTAGTTCCAATATCGATCAACGCTGATCTTGCCATAGCTTCCCTACTTGTAGCATTCAACCAAACCAATGCTCTGATCTAACAATAAAACAATATGATCAGGGAATTAGATAAGGGCACCATTCAAGGTCCCCGCCCAGAAGGTACTGACAACGTGGGTCTCGCAGCCCACCGCCTTTACGACCAAGTTGTTGTTCTGCACCAGAAAAAAAAGAAGCCTATCTAATCAAGAAGCGCAAGCATACCCCTCCCTAGAGAGATCGGCGTTCCCCGATCACCAAGAGGACAAAGGGCAATCAACGGGCAGATAACTACTATTCGCCCTCCCCAAGGCTGAAACATCATCCGAGGAGCATGTACCCCCGTTGAGACAACAGTCTCTGACGAGGGAGGAACTATTACTCTCTTCCACCATCACTAGACATAAGTGAAGACGACGAGCCCCATGGTCCATTATCAATAGAGATCATGGAGACTCCCCTACCTATCAGCATGGAAAAACCCCCAAATATAGGGATGTATGAGGGAACCATCGACCTAGATGAGCACATTGAGAATATTGACGCTCTGCTCTATTACAGGTGCGTCTGGGGAGCCATCAAGTTCATACTCTTTTCCACCACTCCACAGAAGGGGGCTATGGCTTGGTACAAAAGCCTCACTGATGAGTCGATCATGTCTTGGAAGAACCTGGGGAAGCAGTTCTCCAGACACTTTATTGCCTCTCACCGACATCCGAAATCCGAAGCATTACTGGAGGCAATCATCCAAGGGAAAGACGAATCCCTCTAGGCATATATTGAAAGTTTCAACCGCGAGGTCGTTCAGGTCACCACGACTGACGGGATGAATAAATATTTAATGGAGCGTGGGCTGCGTCCCTGTAGTGATTTTGCCAAAGCAGTTGGCATAGAAACACCTGCTACACTGGATTCTCTCCTTCTCAAGGCCCAGGCATACATCCAGTATGAAGAAAAGGAAGTTGCTAACAATGCACGAGACTCACGGAATCAGGAGAATTTGAAGTCGTCAACGCACGATGACTCCTCGACATCTCATCGGGGATAAGATAAAAGAAAAGACGACAAGCCCCATGAATCGCAGGAATACAAAGGGCCAGCTGGTCGGTTCCATGATTACACTCCCCTGAATGTCTCACGTGAGTGCATTCTAACTGACTGCACAGATTCAAAATTTCGTCAGGACGGAGTCCGCTTTCCTCAATAGACTCCATCCAAGCCCAGAACGGACAAAACTAAATATTGCTAGTTTCGCAAGAGCCACATGTATACCACTGAAGACTGCACCCACCTAAAGGATGTTATTGAGATCCTCATCATAGATGGGCATCTCAAGCAGTACAAGAAGAAAGAGGGTCCCCGCGAGGACGCCCCTGAATCGAAGAGGGTCTAGGAAGAGGAACCATCTTCTGATGATGTCATCATGACAATCTCTATGTGAATTTCTCGGCCCTAGGATTTCTATATCACCGACATGGCCGAGCACCCCCTATACTTCTCAACACACAATCCCTGGGAAACTTTCCCCTCCTCCATGGTCATATCTGGCAGGGGATTTAAAAAAGTTAATGTGGGCTCAGTAAAAAGAAAGTTTTAGCAGCTGATCAATAAAAGCTCCAACAAGAACTCCACCCCGGACAAGTTTCGAGGAAGCTCCATCCCCATTGCGTTCTACCGCGAAGAGCTCCCCGACGGATCTCCTAACTCGACTATCCCTTTGCTCGTGAGAGAAAAAATGGAAAATTTTGATGTCTGAAGAATTCTAGTCGACCAAGGCAGCTCAATCGATATTATTTACTCCCAGTTGTTCACCACTTTACAGCTCGACGAGACACACCTGACACCCTATGTAGGTGCTGAAGCAGTAAAGCAGTAAACAAAAAGTAAGTATTAATTACCGGGTGATATAGGTTATATCACATCGTCTCCTTAAATATTATTGAGAGGGAAATACTATCGTTCAACAGTTTCAATCCTTCTAAGTTTGGAAAAGCGTTTGCGGAAAAAGTGCAGGAAAAGTAAATAAAGTAAATAAAGAAAGTGATAAACAATCATATGCAACCTAAGAGAATTCATTATGGAATCACATTTCACTCTACCCATAAAATACTTAAACTTGTGGATCAATTGCACGTAACCTAAATCACTTGTCAATACCATCACGTATCGCTTACACTAAGTCTATTTCTAACACAAAGTGAGACATCACCCGTATTGCTCTCAAAGGCGATTTCACGTGCAACTCAAACAACCTGGATGCATTTCATAACTGATACCCACATAAATATTAAGCCTA